GACCAGACTGTATATTATACATTCACATTAGTCCCTGACCCTCAAGGGGTGTACAACCTAAGGTCCCTAACTTACATTCATACATACTAGGGCCAATTTAGATAGGATCCAATTAACCTACCAGCATGTCTTTGGAGTGTGCGAGGAAACAAGTGTACCCGGAGGAAACCCACACAGGCACAGGGAGAACATGCAAACTACAGGCAGGTGGAGCCGTGGTTGGGATTCGAACCAACAACCCTAGCACTGCCAGGTGGAAATGCTAACCATTTAGCCACTGTGCTGCTCATATGGTTTATTGTTGCCACTACAATTTTTGAGCTTATATATACACATTCATCGCCCACTTTATTAGGTACACCTGTTCAATTGCTTGCTAGCACAAATTGTTAATCAGCCAATTACATGGCAGCAACTCGATGCATTTAAACATGTAGACGTGGTGAAGACAACTTGCTGAAGTTCAAACCGAGCATCAGAATGGGGAATGAGAGGGGATTTAAGTGACTTTGAATGTGGCATGGTTGTTGGTTCCAGACTGGCTAGTCTCAGTATTTTAAAATTGCTGACCTACTGGGATTTTCATGCACAAACATCTCTAGGGTTTACAGAGAATGATCCGAAAAAGAGAAAATATCCAGTGAGCAGTAGTTGTGTGGATGAAAACGCTTTGTTGATGTCAGAGGTCAGAGGAGAATGGGCAGACTGGTTGCTGAGACATTCAGAGCATGGATCCATCCTGCTTTGTATCATCTGTTCATATATATGACATCTTTATGTAAAGAATTCTCATCTCATAGTTACATAGTTAGCAAGGTTTTATTAATACAATTTTCATGTATGCCATGTCTGAAAATGGAAAAAATATTCAGTTAGCAAAGTTTTATCATTTTGATTTATTATTGTATAATCTTTTTCATTTAAAATATGTTTGGAAAAGTATATTTCTCTCATCTAGAAGAATCAGGAAAACGTTTTCTTGCACTTGTAGCAGCTGTGTAGCAGATACTTGGTAAATGCTGCAGAGTAGAACTGCTTCATATCTAGTTTTGTCGCAGAAGCCAAAACATTTATTGCCATAGTGGAGACAGAGCTGCGGTTTCTGGTGCAACCTAATGCTAAGGGTTTGTTTTTTAGCTACCTAGCATTTCAGAAGTGAAAGTTAACTGCTCAAGCAACTCCTAGGTCAAATTGGGAAACAGAGTATTGTCATTTTTGTATCTCACAATCCCAGACATTACCAATAGGTAGGAACAGGGGCAGACTGACCATTTGGAAACTAGGGCACTGTCCGAGGGCCCGGGGTCAGTAGGGGGCCCCATAAGATGCCCGTGGTAACTTTTTCATAGGCTTTTTTGAGTTTGGGCAAGGACACAGGGGCCCCATGATCCCCTATTGCCCGGGAGCCCCATGAGTTGTCAGTCCGCCCCTGGGTAGGAATATGCTAATTTTTACATTTACTCATGTAAAGCTATCAGTGCAAAGTGAACTGGTGGTACTGCCCCATGTCCAGATGTGAAAGAGAAAAAGCCATCAAAATACTCAGCTCCATTGCTAACCGAAACAAAATCAAATTAATTTTTTTAACACAATTGCACTACATTAGTTACAATGTTGCTTAGCTTTTGGTATTATGGGATAATGAAAAATTACATTAGAACATAAGAACACCGAGTTTGTTCTGTGCAATATGCCACCACAAAGAGGTACAGCAAATACACTATATTGCCAAAAGAATTAGGACACCCCTCCAAATCATTGGATTCAGGTGTTCCAATCATTTCCATGACCACAGGTGTATAAAATCAAGCACCTAGGCATGCAGACTGCTTCTACAAACATTGGTGAAAGAATGGGTCATTCTCAGGAGCTCAGTGAATTTCAGTGAGGTACCATGATAGGTTGTCACCTATGCAATAAGTCCATCTGCACAATTTCCTTGCTACTAAATATTCCACGGTCAACTGTTAGTGGTATTATAACAAAGTGGAAGCAACTTGGAACAACAACAACTCATTCATGAATTGGTACTCCATATAAAATGACAGAGCGGGGTCAGCGCATGCTGAAGTGCACAGTGCGCAGAAGTCGCCAACTGTCTGCAGAGTCGATAGCTAAAGCACTCAAATCTTCATGTGGCCTTCAGATTAGCACAACAGAGCGTAGAGAGCTTCATGGAATGGGTTTTCCATGGCCAAGCAGCTGCATCCAAGCCTTACATCACCAAGGGAAATGCAAAGCGTCGGATGCAGTGGTGTAAAGCACACCACCACTGGACTCTTGTCTTGTACTTGTCTGGCTGACTGTCATTGTGTGCCAAGTATAAAGTTTGGTGGAGGGGGATTATGGTGTGGGGTTGTTTTTCAGGGGTTGGGCTTGGCGCCTTAGTTCCAGTGAAGGGAACTCTTAAAGTGTCAGCAAACCCAGACATTCTGAACAATTCCCTGCTCCCAACTTTGTGGGAACAGTTTGGGGATGGCCCCTTTCTGTTCCAACATGACTGCGCACCAGTGCACAAAGGAAGGTCCATAAAGACATGGATGAGCAAGTTTGGGGTGGAGGAACTTGACTGGCCTGTACAGAGTCCTGACCTCAACCTGATAGAACACCTTTGGGATGAATTAGAGCTCAGACTGCAAGCCAGGCCTTCTTGTCTGACATCAATGCTTGACCTCACAAATGTTCTTCTGGAAGTATGGTCAAACATTCCTATGGACACATTCCTAAACCATGTGGACAGCCTTCCCAGAAGAGTTGAAGCTGTTATAGCTGCAAATGTGGTGGACCAACTCAATATTGAACCCTATGGACTATAACTGGGATGCCATTAAAGTTCATGTGCATGTAAAGGCAGATGTCCCAATACTTTAGGCAATATAGTGCATGATTATTCTGCATATGTATTTCATATATTCTACCTACTTTATGGAACTACAAGGTCCAGACTAGTTTCACAGGTAGAAATGATATATGCACATACTTAAATATATTAGACACCAGGAAGATGGACACAGAAAATTACGCTCAACCCTATATAAACACTAGATGCCAGTAGGACAAAAGCATAAGAAATACTAGGCTTTCCAGAAAAATTGGGACAAAAATGCTAGACATTAGGAGAATGGGCACAGAAACTTCAAGACGCCAGTGGAATGGAGGCATAAAAGCTGCTACAAACCACACCCAGGCATAACAATCACTGAACACCAGACGCCATAGGACAGTGAGTCGGATTCTCTTGCCAGTGCTCACTGGAGGTATAATGGGGAACATCTAAACTGTGTGTTGATGTTGGGATCAACTGAATTGAATAAAATGTCAAAAGTTGTCTACAGCAAGTGACACCCTAGGGATAATTTGTGTAATCTTGCAGGGGAATCATATATTAATCTGCCTAAGTATTGGTACCATGCTGTGTTGAATTATTTTTCGTTAGTAGGATCACTATTTGATGTTTTATTGTGGGTGTCAGACTTATATTATACATCTATTTCTGTATATCGTACCAGCCAGTTATACTGTAGATATAGAAAATAACTTAGCCAGAGCATGCTTCTTTAGCAGCCAGGTATGCACTTTTTTCTGTTTTAACTGGCCGGTTGTTAACTTGCTGGCCTCAATGCCCATGAACAGGGATAAGCTAAACTGAGACAAAGGTAATCACCTGGACCTGACAGGCACTTAGAAAGAAATAGCAATATTGTATCCAGAAATGGGTCATGATAATTATATAGCTTCAAATTCCCACTGGACTCTTGGGAATGGCAATAATAATAGAAACAAAGTCTACAAAGGTCCAACCATGATATTAGTTCATCAGATTAGACTTCTGCTATAAAACACAAATAAAAATCACAAAACACAATAGCATAGTGTAGTATCTTCTATGTTAGAATTGTTAGGGGCGCATTTTAAAGCCATTCCATTTTTCTTAACCTTAAGAAGGGGAATGTCCTGGAAACCAGGCATACGCAGTGGTGGGTGGAGTCATTTGACAGTTGTCATGTGAGTGACGAGCGGAGGCACATGAGAGGCGAATTTGCCAGACCCAACATTTCTACCCTGCTTGATCCCAGCAGTGGTGGTGGTGAGCAGCTTAGACAGGAGTCAGAACATCTTGCCTATATTCCCCTATGTACAAGTTTTTCCATACGTTGGTGCAATTCTGTGAGTTTTAATCTCTAAAACAGAAAATGCTGTTGAGGTGAGTCTATAAAGAAGGAAAAAAATTTTTTTAGATTTTCCTTAGGACCCATTCACAATTTTGCACTGTGGCAACACAGGCATTCCATACAAAGGCAAGATGCTGGGGGGGGAGCATACTAGAATTTTAAATTCTACTAAGACAGAAGGTACACCAGTGGGGTGCACTATAATGTGTAATTAAAACATGATTAGAAAGCCCAGGGTGGTCTCTGAGCTTTTTAAAGTGGTGATTTCTGAGCTTTTTAAAGCGGACCTATCTTCTAAGTTTTCCCTGTCAGTAGAACAGAATAAAGGTTATTTTGAGCAAAAACATGCCAAGAATAAAATATCGCCATTTCCAAACTTCATCATAAGACCTAAAGCCTTTAGAAGCCTCAATAAGGTTGTCTCTGGCCAGGAAAATTTGGTGTATTGCACATTTTTAGAGGATATAGATATTCTACTACTTTAAGCATGAGCTACACCACAGTTCTCAATATTTTAAAAAACATTAAATTTGCTATATACCACATACTACAAAAAAAAAAGAAAAAAAAACAACCTTTATGTCATCCTCTGCATTCATCTTGTATATTACACACAGCTGAATAGTCAATTTCAATACTTGCAACATATAGCAGTATGTGCAATCACCTCATCCTTTATCAGTAAATTTCCACACATGTGCAAGCTGGCAGAACCTGCTAGAGGCTGCTGAATTTCAAGGCTGCTTCTTGAAGTAGATATGCAGCCAAGCTGTAGACATTCACATATTTACTTATTCTTAAAGTGGCTCACTTAAAGCTGAAGTGTAGTATATATATCATACATTTCCTTGTACCCCCTCCCCCCCTATCAACATTCTAATAAAATGTTTCACTTAAATCACTTTGTTTTTCAAAATATACCTCTTTTGAGACTCTATGGGGTTGATTTGCTAAAGGCAAACAGACTGTGCACTTTGTTGGTGCAGTTGCTCCAGAGCTTAGTAAATGAGGTAAAGCTTTGCTGTACAAGAAATACCCAATCACATGCAAGGAAAATTAAAAAAAAACAGCATTTTTGCTTGCACATGATCGGATGATGAAAGTAGGCAGAGCTGCTGCTCATTTACCAAGCTCTGGAGCAACTGTTTTTGCAGAGTGAAAATGCACTTTGCAAAGTGAACAGTCTATTTGCCTTTAGTAAACCAACCCCAATGACATCATCACTGGGTGTTTCTGCTGCTCTTTACTTCAAGGTTAGTAGAAGGGACCGATGGGCTCCAGCAAAGTCAAAATTATTATATAAAAGAACATATTCCTGGGATCCCTTTTCATGTGCCTGCTCCTCTCTGCTGGCTATTGGCCGCAGCAGACATTAGCTGTGCATTCTGCCGATTGGTTGCTTGATCATGCACATCAAAAAATATGCCAGACATGTGTTCTTTCATATAATGATTTGATGAGCTAATTTTATGAGTGTTTCATATAAAAAATGGGAAAAAATGATCGATGCCAGGGAAAGCTAATAACTGTGAGAATGGGGAGGTGGTGAGGAAGGAACTGACTGCACAGATCAGGGGTAGAAGTAATTGATTAATGACTAAAGTCGTTCAGACAAGAGATGAAGGTGGGTACAAGATAATTGCTGCAACTTCAAAAGGCTATTTTGTAGAGATTTTGTGAATATGCCAGTTTGCAGGGAACTGGGAGTAATCCGTAGAAGACTTATTAGAAGTGTGGGTAAAAAGGCAAGACTGGAGCTCAGCTTTGAATAGAAGTGAAAATGAAAGCTTTACCTGGAAAGAACAATTCAAATACCTACCTACCTGTTTTTATTCTTCGTCCTCAACTCCATAAAGAGTGTCACTGGATTGCATCTAATAATTCTCACTAAACTAGAGTAAAGATCTGATGGAATGGCCAGGTTTTTTTCTCCTGTCCAAAGTTTGCGTCATGGAGGCTTCTAAAATGTACCTGGATTGGGAAACTCCTTTGCTGGTTAAAGGCCGAGTTCACATTAGTTCACGCAAGGAAAAGGTGCATGCACCTTTTCTGAAATGCATCCACACAGAAACTGCATGGTCTTTTTGACTATGCGATTTTGTGTGGTTCCATGATTGTGCCGCGATCACGCTGCGGGATGAGACGCATGAGAAATGGCACTCGTCCCGCAAGAGAAGCACAATGCAGCTATGGGTGGTTGCAGGTGCAGGAATTGCATAAGGCCCTGTTCACACTAGTGCGGGCCGTGCATCCCGCGTTTGCATGGGCACAGCAGCCCATGCATTTGAATAAGCTGCAGTGCCCAAGTGTCATGCAAGGAAAAGGTGCATCAGGGGCGGACTGACAATTCATGGGGCCCCTGGGCAATAGGGGATCATGGGGCCCCTGTGTCCTTGCCCAAACTCAAAAAAGCCTATGAAAAAGGTACCAAGGGCATCTCATGGGGTCCCCTACTGACCCCGGACCCTCGGGCAGAGCCCGAGTTTCCAAATGGTTAGTCCGCCCCTGGGTGCATTTCTGAAATGCATCCACATGGAAACCACACGGTCTTTTTGACCATGCCATTTTGTGTGGTTCCAAATGGTCAGTCCGCCCCTGGGTGCATTTTCTGAAATGCATCCACACGGAAACCACATGGTCTTTTTGACCATGCCATTTTGTGTGGTTCCCGTGATCATGCTGTGATCTCGCTGCGGGATGAGACGCATGAGAATGGCACTCCCGCATGTCCCGCAAGAGAAGCACAATGCAGTTATGGGTTGTCCCAGGTGCCGGAATTGCATAATGCCCTATTCACACTAGTACAGGTCGTGCGTCCCACATTAGCATGGGCACAGCAGCCCATGCATTTGAATAAGCTGCTGTGCCCGAGTTTTACGGAAGGAAAGGTGCATGCACTTTTTCTGAAATACATCCACACGGAAACCACATGGTCTTTTTGACCATGTGGTGTCCGTGTGTGGTTACCTCACGATTGCACTGTGGGATGAGATGCGTAGCGGTGCCATTTTGGAATGAATGGCACCCCCCTGTATTTCGCAAGAGAAGCGCAATGCAGCCGTGGGTGGTTGCGGGTTTGGGAATTGCATCTAAGGCTAGGTTCACACTAGCCCGCACGCTGAGGGCTTGTTGCAGGTGTTGGAATCGATGTGATTCCTGCAACCACAACCACCGGCAGCTGCATCGCGCTTCTCTTGCGAGACACAGGGGTTGCCATTCAATATGAATGGCACCCCCACACATCTCATCCTGTATCGCGATGGCGACACAATCATGGGTGCAGAAACCACATGGTCAAAAAGACCATGCGGTTTCCATGCGAATGTGTTTCAGAAAAGGTGCATGCATGAAATGCGGACACAGATGCCCATTCAAATCAATGGGCGTGTGGCCCATGCAAACACAGAACGCATGCCCTGCACTAGTGTAAATCATTGATGGGGTGTTTGATATGTAAGCTAAATGTCATACAGGGGCACTTGATTGACTGCATTCCATTTTTTATTACATACTTTTTTCTGCTTTACTGTTACTCTGCCGTCCAGGTCTTGCTCACTACTTATCACTTTGTGCAATGTGTTTCACAAGTGTCCCATAGCCTCTTGCCCTGCTGTGCATATGCAATGCAATAACTGCCATTGTAACTAGGAACAGAAGCAATCATGCACATTGATCCTAGGTTCACACTTTTTCAGTGTGTTTTTCAGTCTGCAGAAATGCACTACAGTCAATTTAACATTTTGAGGCAGTGCATTTTTTGGAAAGGGTCAGGGACTTTCTTTCCCGCAGCAGATTGCCTTTTGCGTGTAATGGACTTCAATGGACACACACCAAAAACACAAGTGTTGCATTTTTTAATCGTTTTTACAGTGCCTTGAAAAAGTATTCATACCCCTTGAAAGTTTCCACATTTTGCCATGTTACAACCAAAAATGTAAATTTATTTTACTGGGATTTTATGTGATAGACAAACACAAAGTGGCACATAATTGTGAAGTGGAAGGAAAATGATAAATGGTTTTCAAAATTTTTTGCAAATAAATAAATAAAATTGTAGCGTGCATTTGTATTCAGCCCCCCGAGTCAGTACTTTGTAGAACCACCTATCGCTGCAATTACAGATGTAAGTCTTTTTGGGGATGTCTCTACCAGCTTGCACATCTAGAGAGTGACATTTTTGCCCATTCTTCTTTGCAGAATAGCTCAAGCTCTGTCAGATTGGATGGAGAGTGTCTGTGAACAGCAATTTTCAAGTCTTGCCACAGATTCTCAATTGGATTTAGATCTGGAATTTGACTGGGCCATTTTAACACATGAATATGTTTTGATCTAAACCATTCCATTGTAGCTCTGGCTGTATGTTTTGGGTCGTTGTCCTGCTGGAAGGTGAACTTCCGTCTCAGTCTCAAGTCTTTGCAGACTCTAACAGGTTTTCTTCTAATATTGCCCTGTCTTTTGCTCCATCCATCTTCCCATCAACTCTGACCAGCTTCCCTGCCCTTACTGAAGAAAAGCATCCCCACAACATGATGCTGCCACCACCCTGCTTCACAGTGGGGATGGTGTGTTCAGGGTGATGTGCAGTGTTAGTTTTCCGCCACACATAGCGTTCTGCTTTTAGGCCACAAAGCTAAATTTTGGTCTCATCTGACCAGAGCACCTTCTTCCATATGTTTGCTGTGTCCCCTACATGGATTCTCAAAAACTGCAAATAAGACTTCTTATGGTTTTCTTTCAACAATGGCTTTCTTCTTGCCACTCCTCCATAAAGGCCAGATTTGTGGAATGTATGACTAATAGTTGTCCTGTGGACAGATTCTCCCACCTGAGCTGTGGATCTCTGCAGCTCCTCCAGAATTACCATGGGCCTCTTGGCTGCTTCTCTGATTAATGCTCTCCTTGCCCAGCCTGCTAGTTTAGGTGGATGGCCATGTCTTGGTAGGTTTCCAGTTGTAGTAGAGAGCAAAAAAAAAAAGAGCACCAACCATGTGCATTACCTCAGTAGGCAATTAATAATTTTATTGATAAAAATTATACTCACAAGAGTAACAGAGCAGTATAAAAGGCATATAACATCCAAAACCAAAACACTGAGTTAGGAGACACCTGCAAATCCCATCAAGAAAGGAGATATTCTCTTGGTCAAACTGCCACGTTTTGAAGAAAAGCTCAGAGCTCTGAAGAAGAAGGGACACCCCTTTGAAATGTGCCAGCTTGACCAAGAGATTATCTCCCTTCTTGATGGGATTTGCATGCGTCCCCTAACCCAGGGTTTTGGTTTTGGATGTTATATGCCTTTTATACTGCTACTCTTGTGAGTATAATTTTTATCAATAACATTATTAACTGCCTACTAAGGTAATGTGCAAGCTTGGTGCGCTTTGCTTTTTTGTTCTCTACTACAGTCTTTATCGAGCTTCCCCAGCTTCGTGTTAGAGCAGCACAACCTTTGATCAGTGTTGGATGAACATTCATTATACTGGTAGGTTTGCAGTTTTGACATACTCTTTCCATTTTTGGATGATGGATTGAACAGTCCCCCGGATGTTCAAAGCTTGGGATATTTTTTTATAACCTAACCCTGCTTTACATTTCTCCAAAATGTTATCCCTGACCTGTCTGGTGTGTTCCTTGGCCTTCATGATACTGTTTGCTCACTAATGCTCTCTAACAAACCTTCACGAAACAGATTTATTGATACTGAGATTAAATTACACACAGGTGGACTCTATTTACTAATTAGGTGACTTCTGAAGGCAATTGGTTCCACTAGATTTCAGTTAGGGGTACAAGAGTAAAGGGGGATGAATACAAATGCACACAACACTTTTTCAGATATTTATTTGCACGCCTCAATTTTATTTATTTATTTGCAAAAAATTTTGAAAACCATTTATCATTTTCCTTCCACTTCACAATTATCTGCCACTTTGTGTTGGTCTATCACATAAAATCCCAATAAAATACATTTATGTTTTTGATTGTAACATGACAAAATGTGGATAATTTCAAGGGGTATGAGTACTTTTTCAAGGCACTGTATGTGGTTTGCATGGTTTTTTGCTAAATCATGTATTGCAACTTTGATGTGACTTTGATTCTAGTTGCATCAAAGTAGTGCAGGAACCTTTATGTGTCCAAAGTCGCATTTTTTTGGCTAATAGGAAAATATGACAGTTCTGTTTATGTAGTATGACTTTGATGCGACTTTGATGCTACTTGAGTGCCAGCGTATGTAAAGTCACATCAAAGTTGCACTACGTGAACAGACCTCTCATACTTTCCAATTAGCTATAAAAAAAGCAAAACGCATCAAAAACACTTGTTCAAAGATGCAAAACGCACCACAAAACGTGGTGGAACCGGAAGCTGCACAGATGTGAAGCTAGCCTAAGTCATCAACCCAGAAATCAGTCCAGAAACTTTTTCAAAGAATTGCTTCTCTGAAGGATGGGTGGGCTGCTGCATTTGATGAATTTTCAAGAATGGGAAGACTTAGTAGAACAATCAAATAACAAAAATACTACAAACATCTTCAAAAAATAAATTCTTATCTTCCACTACATAGAAAAAAAACTAAAGAAACATTTGTAGTGGCAGAAAACAGACCAAATGTCAATCAACTTGCCAAGTTCTACTTACTAAAGAATGATGCTGTAGGAAAGGATTACTCCCCCCTTATGTGTAAATCTGCCCCTTACACCCCGTTCACACAGATCCCAACTTTGAAATTGTGCAACTTACAGTGAAGTTGCAAGATTTCAAAGTTGGATGACATGCCGATGTGAGGTGCGATTTGCAAGACATCTGACACAGATTTGGAAATGTAGTCTGTTTACCCATTTTCTGAGCACAAAGATCCTGCTACAGCATACAAGTTTAACAAGGCTTTTCTTCAGCAGAGTCTGCATAGCTGAACCGCAGAACACTGCCATCTTTTGTTAACTTAACAATCTGCAACCAGTATTAATGCAGGGTGTTACGCCCACTATTGTAGAATGTTTACATTTACTGTATTTAAAGTAAAGAAGATTAAAATGCAACAAGCAGCCTCTCTATGGTGTACTGAAAGATTAGAAGTGTGATTCAGTGTGCACAGCTAATACCTGGGGAGAAGAGTAAATGTGAATATTTGTGAAAACCTGTTTCAGGAGCTGGTCTTGATTAGGGGTAAGGAGCCACCCTCCTGACAGTGAGAATAACCCACTCATGGAACACGTGCCAGGTAACCCAGACCCTATGTTCAATGGATCCCAGGTGTTTAGTTGAACATCCAGAGCCCTAATTTGGACCATGGTAAGTCTCAGGCCAGCATGAGAGGTGCTCCGAGCATTTGGGGCTGCTATGAACTTAGATCAGAAAAATGGGTTGAGCTGGTCTCATGCCAGCATCCATGCACGTGTTGTAGACAATTAAGTCTATATGAAATTGGGGTGGTTACAAAATACAGTGTGCCCCAGATAGCCCTGTTTATCAGTGAGGCACCAGATGCAGGGTTCAGCCACATT